AGTGATGTTTTTTATTAATTTTTTTTTAAATGCCCAACAGATTTTTTTCAAAATGCTAGCACCAACTCTGATCAGGGTTGTCGCTAGTACTAATTTAACAGCCTAATTATAAGGCAGTCTTTATTTGGGTTTCATTTTAAATGGCCACCAAAGGAAAAAAATCTAAAAATATCTATGGAGACAAGTGAATCACTTATCTCAATTTACACTTTAAAGGGCAATCCATAATTGTTTCTGTTTACTTCAATTACTCATTAGCTAATTAGTATACCCTGACCTTCTGTTAGATCAAAAAATATGTTTGGTTTTGTTTCTCTGCAGTTATAATTTTTTGTACCTTATTTATACTGCACTGCCACTTCAATATAGTAAAACAAGCAAACATATCAAGAAGAAAACAAAATTAAAATGAATTAAAAAATTTATATTCCTAGCATTAGATTTGAGCACTAATTTTCACCACTATATGTTATTAAGTTGACTTTTAACAAAAACCTTAAAAAATCATCAAAAATAAAATACAAGATTTAAATTAAATGCATCAGCTAATTTCTTCAGTTGCAGTAGCACTGCTTGCTATTCAGAGTTGAGGGGACTCCTATTTTAAGAAACAAAATTGTCTTGGCATTATTATTGGAATAACAAAAGGATTATCAAAGGACACTATGACAAACTCTTCTGGCAATTGAACTCAATGCCGAAGTGTTCAAGCCCTGTGTCATGTGTTTCTGCTGAGGTTTTGTGATTGGATAAATTTTTGATTATGCAAAATAGCAGTAGAGTAATAATCAAGCTGGAGTCAGTGTAACTAATGGTGATAACACAGAATGGAAGATCCACAAATACACATGTTACGCTATAGTTTGTAGCATAAACTAGTGTTGATGCACACTTGAATCTTACCTTTATATCCTACATGTATTACAGGTATATACTGTAATAGGTGTGCAGTCTATATTTACACTCTGCATTGATTGCATTACTTATTACATTTATTTATTTATAAATATTTTTACTTTTCAGTTATAAACATGTATTTGATGGAGCATTCCGAGTTTACAAAGAAGGTATGTTAAATGGAGGTGTCGATTATACAATTGTATTTACTGGTATATATTGTACGTCCATTGTCTTTTTTGCATATATAAATCCACAATGCATACTACCGGTATGAGGTTTTTACAGGAATAAACTACAGATGCATGGCATGGAATCTACCAGCTTTGCTCAGTAAATATGAACTGCCTTAAGCTTCTTCCACTGCTTGTTGACCAATCAGGTCAGAGGATGTTAACTTATGTACGATGACGCATATTTTCTACACAAGGATTAAACGAAACACAGAAGATGGAACATGAAATATGTAACTTCAAGCACTTTCAGATGTACATAATACCACTGATGTTTATCAGTGACAGTGATTAATATAATCTGAATGTTTAATTGAGCTATAGCAACTAAGTTGACATGTGTAGAGGTGTTGGGTAGATTAAACTGTTTAATCATTTGCTGAAAAAAAATATTGTTTTTTTTTTTCAGAGGGTTTTGTAAAACTCTTTCGGGGTGCTGAAATGGCTACATTTAGGGCAATACTTATGACTGTTGGACAGGTATGATAATAGATTCCAAATATTAACTTATCGTAGTACGTTACCATATTTAGTTAACACTGAGTGAAAGCAACAATGATCTTAGATATGGTGACGTCTAAGGTTAAAAACAGTTGATTTGCAACTAAGGCAAAAAAATGTGTTACTGGTTTTGGTACATGACACACATTTTTTAAACAGCGTTGATCAGTCAATATTCTGCCATTTGGTTGTTAACTTTCACTGTGAGCCAATGCATATTAATTACCAATTTGCATAATAATTATTCCATTTTGTTGTTGCTTTTCTGCCAATATAAAACCTAAGACCTCTGTTTAGGTTAAAATCTGTGCATATTAATTACCTAATTTGCTTAAAAAGTAGTTTTTCTCTTGCTACATATGTGTCATTGTTTAGGGTTGAAAACAATGCATATTAATCATCTAATTTAAATAAATAAGCCAATTTTTAGTTGTTCCATTAGTCAGATTTCAATGAAACTCCCTGGGGAAATCAACAGAGGTGATTAGTTGAGAGTAAAACAATGCATACTGATAACCTAAGTAGCATAAATCAGACAATATCTGATATCTCAACAAATCAGATTTAAATTAAATTTGTTGAACAGGTACAAGATAAATCAGACTGCAAACGAGTGCAATCAAATGTATTCCTGTTGTTTTATTAAGAATTTTCTGTGAGTATTATTAAACTTCAATACTGTGGATCACATTGTTATGACATCGTGTATAGCAGACTTCTTAGTTTGACTTATTTTTACGTACCGTGGGTCATATGCTTCCAGTTCTCTCGGCACAATGGGGTTCTTTCTAAATGTACACAAATGTACATGTAACCAGAGGGACTGTGATGTAACTCATCAAAACAAAGTGGAAATTAATGTTTTGTTTTTATCATTTTCAGATTGCATTTTACGACCAATCAAAACAATTGTTGATATCATGGGGTGTTATAAAAGATAATATGATTGGACATTTTACAGCGAGTACTATTGCGGTGAGTAAAATATATTTTAAGCAAGTCGTTGTTAATGACATTATCATCGTTCCATCCCATCATGTGTGATGTTCAAACCAATGTTGAATCAACAGTTTTCTGAAACAAAAATGTCAATCAAAAGTTATTTAAACAAAAAATGAAACAAATCTATATACATATATATATATACACCACTATAAGTCAAAGCAATTCTAGAAACTGCTAAAGACACATAAAATTTAATCTTAGTTGGCTGCAAGTCCTTCATTTGTATCAGATTACAAAACTAACTGACGTGCATTAATCCATTATGTGTAATGTCTGTGCTAAGTTTGAATAAAATGTGGTCATCAGTTGATCAAATAGTTTCGGGATAAAACTGTAAATGTCTCTTATCATGACTTGTGAGAAATCATTGAATCATTGAAGACATGTTCAAAACATTACATGTGTGTTGAACAGCTTAGCAGACACATGGATTGAACTGCAAAATTATTGAAATACTTGCTATATACAGTATAATCATCTGGTACCTTGTTTCTAATGAAGAAAAAATGCGTGTCTACCTCAAATTTGGTATAGCTTTAGTAGTGGTACCTGTTTGTTTCCACGGAGACAGTGATTTGGTCTGTCAGATTAGCCCTACTTCACACTGGCAGCATGAAGAGAATTGTTGTCTCAAAACCTGTCAAGCATTATTTAACACTGTTCAGGAAGAACTGTATCGCAGTCCCTCTATGATAGGGGAACTGTACACGATCGTATCGCGTACCTCAAAGTTACATGCAACATTGTTACGAACAAACATTGTTTTTGTTTTTAAATATTCAATAAAAAAAAATTCTATTTCACATTTATACAGGGTACAATAGCGACAGCGTTGACACAACCATTTGACGTTCTCAAAACAAGATTAATGAATGCTAAACCAGGAGAATTCAGGGTGAGTATTTCAAATGCTATATAGTATATGTACTTTGGCATTTCCATTCACTTACAAAAATGAGACAAAAAACTAAATTTGGACACTCGGTGCAGATGACAATCATGCTGTAAAAATTATTTATATTGCGTAATTGATATGGATCCCAGAGACTATACTTCCAGTTTATTTTAATCAAGTGATTTTGTGATTCATTGATAACATTTCGGGATATGTTTGCTGTACAAGACAAACTAATAAGAGATCTTAAATGCACAACATCCGTGCCATCGGCTTCTGTAAGTTTAAAATCAACAAGGATGCTGTCTTTTATTTTAAAGATTATAAATATGTAAGAAAACTCAACTGGAATTTGAATAATCCAGAGTGAAAGCAGAGTTTACATTTAGTAAAAGTGCTATTATCCAGTGCTATAACAGATTCCTCCCTTTTTTTTCTAATGAAACATGTTTTATGTAACAATTTTAACATTGCCCATGTGTTTATGAATATAACTATGTAAAGTTCACCTTGCTTCAGAGCCTGTAAGTACTAGTAACAGGAATTGGGGAATTTACCACTGAAGGAACTAGGGTATGCACTTCTCACATATTTTCAGTCGCAGCCACTCATGCAGATAAGAAATGTTATCAACATTTGATTTTTGTTTTCAGGGCATTGGACACTGCATTATGGTGACAGCCAAGCTTGGACCAATGGCTTTTTATAAAGGATTCGTACCAGCATTTGTACGACTCGCTCCACACACCATTCTCACGTTCATCTTCTTTGAGCAGCTCAGAAAGAACTTTGGATACACTGTTGTGCTCACAAGAAGAGAGGACTAAAATCACTGATTGAAAGTTAGTTCTCTAAAAGTGGAGTAATCTGTTTGGTTTTTCATTACAGTGCATAGTGTAGGAATTATTTACAAATATATTGCATAGAACAGTAGATGCGTACAATTGACTACAATGGAAAAATCGTTTGAAGATGGCGACACGGTTACTAGTCACCGAGGTGGAGGCAACACAAGAATATGTGGTTTGATTTCAATATTACCAGATCCAAGCCTTGGATAGATAGATCAAATTAGACTGGAAAAGTTCTCAGAACTGTGTATTTATATGTACAAGGTGCATCTAATGTCAAGTGTAAAATATGTCTAAACTAAATCATGTGTCAATTGGGAACTTTCAGTTCCTTCTATATAAATTTGCTAACTAATGATGAAATAACAGTTTAATAAACTGATTTATTTTCTTAACAAGTGTATAATGCTTGTTTTGACACAGGCATCAATAATGACACAGGCATCAATAATGACACAGGCATCAATAATGACACAGGCATCAATAATGACACAACAAGAGCAAATCATTCATTCATGAACTCTACACATAAACTACATTAGTATTTTCAAGGGTGTTGATTGTCATGCAGCGTAGGTGTAAGGTATTGGGCCTCTTATTAACAATGATGGCAAATTTGATTATTTCACAGATCATTACTCATAAAAAAAAAAGAGATTGAATCTATCAACTTTTAACATGATATTTCCTGGGGTGCTTGGATTACATTGGAGCCAGATCCTGTTTGCTACTGGTAGACTACATTGGATTGTATGAATTTCGTACATGCGTACGATGACTAACTCCCTTTAAATTAGCTGCCATTTGTAAATTGTCTGATCTAAATTTGTTGAATTTAGCTGTTAAATGAGATTATCCATCAATGCTCTTGTTTTTTCAATTGCTACATGCTGGAAATGTACATAATATCGGTAATATGGTCTTGAAATATTTTTTTTAGCCGTGAGTACATTGAGTTTGCTAGGTGCAACATCCATGAGTGTAGGACCAGCATCATTTTGAAGAGATGTCTGACAGGCAGTGTTCTCTCTACCTTGGCTGATTTTGCAGAGATATAATGTCGAAGTAGAATCACAGTTATCAATTTATTGACTGATTTATTGACTGCTGGGAAATATCTTAGGAAAATAATAAGTACAAAAAAATCTCTGTGTGTCATATCAAGTTAGAGGGCACACTGTTGACAGCTTTTCTTTGTGCCGAATGTTTGTGTTTCCTTCCTCTTTTTTGAAATGCAACCTGGGGGCTTGTCATTACTGCTTCAGTATATGCATCTATTGCATTATTAAAAACAAACAAATACTGACAAAATTTGTGAACAAGTTTTAAACTATTTATTGTGACAAATCATAGATTTACCAAATTTGAATCAAAATCATGTATACTAGAAACTGCTTCTCTACTCAATGTGTAGTCTTTTTTTAACAACAGTACTCAAGAAAATATATGTTTGTATCTAAATAAATGTTTTCCCAAACTGTTTCCCTTGTATATATCTTTTCACAGCTCAGTTTTCATATTGATTTCATATTTACTTCTGCAAGTCCAAAAATAAGACCTAAAATCGGTACATGTGTAATACTATTACCATAAGTGTCCAACTTGAACCCCATGCTTGACTAAGGTACCTCATGTCATATGATACCATACATGTATGCGTGGAGACTGAGTAGTGAAAGCATCCTTGCGACCACATACTATGAGGTTATTATGAGGATACCTCAAAGTATGCACGCGTATGCACGAGGAATTAAGTGCCAACCGACACATAGCGGAGGTTGATGCCACAGCGTACGGTTCTGTCTGAGTGCTTAATTTGTGGTATCCTCGTAATAACCTCATTATTCTATACATCTTTTCCTTCCAAGGATACATCATGGGAATGCCAAAATCCAGAAAGTTTAGAACTGAAGCAGCAAACTTCTTTGTATATAGTCCCGCAAACCCTGATGGCAGCCATGTTTGTTTTTATTATTAGAGGACGCTTAGTCATGTAATCATTCCATATTTGGAATTTGCATTTCCTTATATGGTAGGATGAAAATATCCGTAAAATACCGCAAAATTATGGCACGCTGTATCTACGGTGTCAGATATATAATAATGTGCAATATTCTATATGTGATTTTATTGGTTCAAACATGGGGCATAGCTTGGACTTAATTCTTTATTCCGTAT